TTTTTTTTTTTTTTGGTACCAGGGATTTTATGCTTGCGAAGCAGGTGGTGGAACCACTGAACTAAATCCCTGGCCCCCACGTCTTTGAAATGTGCCCTTCCCCAGGCACTTGTGGAAGAGCTCTTATGGAAAGAGTCTGATTTTTTGTCTACCCTTGTCTTATCACTAACGGAAACCTAGTGCAGACATATGCTACCAGTCAGAAATGTCCCTGCGATGGTCACCCCTCCCACATGAGGTCACAAGCATGTGACCTGGCCTGGCTGCTCCACATGCATGGGGAGGCCTGGGTATCCAGCTCTAAAACTGCACAAGCCTGCATCCCCAGCCAGGCTCACTGCCTCTCCAATGAGGTGGTCCACTTCTGTGGGGGCCCTCACCGTACCTCTGCCTGAGCTAGAAGCTCTCTCTGTCCCTGCCTCCAACACTGAAGACAGGCCACTTGCTGGCACCAAGGTATCTGGGGGCGCAGGCGGGAGTACAGTCCACACCCATTCTGCTAGCCCATTCCACAAGGCTATGCCCACCAGGCTTGTCTCACCAAGGGCACCCTGTGTGCTCCATGTCCTCTCACTGCAGTAGAGGAAGGAAATGAGCTCCCACTGTTATCATTATCTAAGAGACTTTATTTTTAGAGCACTTTCAGGTTCACATCAAATCGAGCAGCAGGACCAGCTCCACTCACCCTGCTGGCCAACCCTACCTACTACCGACGTCCATATCCCAGGGCTCCTCTGTCCAGGTTGGAGCCCGATGCTGACATGTGGCCTGTTTCATCTCTCAAGAAGCTCCCCAGTGGGCATCCAGGGCATATGCTCCCTATAGTGCCACACACTGGCCTCACCTCGTCAGTGCCAATGCATGGGCCTGGTGGTCCAACTGGTACCAGTGCCATCTCAACAGTCGGCTCCATCTGCATTTGCCTGCATGTGCAGGATGGTGACCCAGATGATCTCTCAAGTTCCTCCCTTTTCAGGGGCAAAGTTTCTTTTGGGTGTGCCTGTGTGGCCATCTGGCCACCTCCTTGTGGACGCAGCTGTGCTTTGCCACGCAAGCACCACAGGTGGCTGCTGCTCCTGACAAGCTGGGGCGTCCTCCCTCATGGTGGGTCCCAGGGACGATGGTCGTCCATACTCAGGGCACTATCATGCCGGCGTCTGTGGAGGTGGTGCTCACCCTTCCTGCAGTGGCCACCTATGAGACCACCTAACTTCTTAAGGACTGACCACCACCTATGGCAAACACCTCATGCTCCCTGCCTGGCTCCGAGGAGGACCCAGCCCCGTGCCCAGAACATGGCCTTTCCCTGGGCCTCCTCCCTTTGAACAAGCTTGGAGACTCCACCTCCACAGGAGCCCAAAGCACCTGCCCCTTCCAGGTCCAGCTACCTGCCTGCATCTGCTTCTTTACAGAGGAAAGGAGACAGAACAAGAGAAACTTAGTAAAAGGGTACTTTCCATTTCCTCCTCCTCTTCTTCCCACCCCTGCCACCTTTGGACTTGGTTTTTCCAGTAGACTCTAGGTAGCAGTTGTCCCATCCCAGCCTCCTGGGGGCAGGCAGGGCTAGGCTTGGCCCCTTGATGGCCTCTCTGAGCCCTGCCTCCTGGTTCCGGAGCCCAGAATGTTGAACCAGGTGAGGTGAGGCTGTGCTCCTAGGGGATCCTGGGTGCCTGAGTCTAGAGCTACAACAGATTAGCAAAGACTGAGGCACTGACAAAGAGTTAGTTCATTTTTCAGAGCTGGAGGCTGACATACAGGTCATGGTACTGGCATCTGGGAGGTCACAGGCTGGCAGAGTAGAAGATGAAGCCCACACCCAAGCCTTCTCTAGGACTTATGACCCCATTCCTGAGGGCTGACCTCTCTTGTTCATCTCTCTGAAACCCCACCTCCCAGCACACTGCACTGCAGCCAAGCTTCTGACATGAGCATCAGGGGGACACATTTAGACACAGAGAGAGGACCTCTCTTGCTCTTCTGGCTTCTGGGGCCCAAGACTGTGTCACTCCAATCTCTGCCTGTCTTCACACGGCTGTTGCTGTGTCTCACATCTTCCTCTTCATGCTTATAATGGACTCCTATCATCATATTTAGGGTTCAGCAGAAAATCCAGGATAATTCTTCTGAAGATCCTCAATTTTATCACATGTGCAAAGCTCCTTTTCCAAAGGAAAAGTTTGGCTGGGACATGTGGAACAGGTGTTCCTGGCCCTCTCTCTCTTCTATGTCCATTTTCTACAAAACCTGAGGGGGCTTTTAAAACTAAAACTCAAACCATGGACCCTGCCTGGGGTTCCCACCAAGCCAGCTCTTGCTGGCAGTTTGCACCTACATATGAGTGGTACTACTAAGGAGGCTGGGGGCCTGTGCTTGCCACCAGCCACAGCACTCTAGATAAAGCTCGGTCTCAATAACTCATCAAACTGTAAACTACATATCCATTCAGCCAGCCAATCATGGAACTAAAGAACAGAACTCATGATGAAAACCTTAAACCAGCTCTAAAGTAATCTATTCTCTTGGGTTTTCAATCTTCATTGTTGTTTCCTATTGTATTATCTTGAAGGGCAGGGAAAAAAAAATTGAGAGTTTCTTTTCTTGACTAAAATTTCCAGAGATACAAGTCAGGTGTGGTAGTGCATGCTTGTAATTCCAGCACTCTGGGAAGCTGGGGCAGAAGGAATGCAGGTTTGAGCCCAACCTGGGCAACTCAGTAAGATCTGTCTCAATATCAAATGAAGTCAAATCTCCAAAATTGTTACACATACACACATTCCAAATAGTTTTTCTTTTCATAAATAAACAATTCATGATTGTCTATGTTCACAATCCAAGGTTACCTCATTGAAAGAGGAAAGGTTGAGCTTCTTGGCGATGAACTTCTTCAGGTGCAGCACAGTGGCCTGGGCTGAGCAGCGGATCCACTTCCGTTTCAGACCCCGCAGTTTGCTGCTGTTGCACTCCAGGCAGATGCTCACCTGCAGGAGAAGGCAGCCTGTTAGCTGGGTTCCCATCCTCATGAATATCCACCGATCCCAAGTCTAGAGCGCTGGCCTCTTTGAAATGAAGACATGTGCTTTACTCAGACTGCAGAAAGAACCATACTTCCATGATCTTTCATAGAATCTCCTAAAACCCGCCTGCCCTCTGAGCGATACAACCTCACCAATGGCTTCCTAACCCACGTAACTCTGAGAGCTCTGTGTTTGCCACGGGCACTTGACATTCTGGTTGAGTGACTGTCCCCTGCAGGGAGATGGAAGCAGTGGCATGAATGTGTTGAGCAGTGGATGAGAGAAGCAGAGATAAGCACGGCTTAAAGGATGATGGACAACTGCATGAAGACAAGTGAGTCCTTAGCAGAGGAGAAGTCACGAGCAAAGCCGAGTCTGGTGTGTTGTCTTCTGGATGAGCAACAGCTCAGCTAGATCAGAGCTGTGCCTATCTCAGGCCACACAGTCAAGTTAGCTAAAAGTGAGCCTAGGATCCTACCAGCCAGGGATTCCTGGCAATGCAAAAGGTAACCTGCTTTTGGGAAAAAGCCCATTTCAGGCCTGCTAAAGAAGTGTCCCCCTTGTTGGGGATTTAGCTCAGTGGCGGCGCCGCCCGCCTTGCAAGCACAAGGACCCGAGTTCAATCCCCGGCACAAAAAAAAAAAAAAAAAATAGCCTCTCCCTCACCATGGCAGCAGCCACACAAACAGCATCCTGAGGCTCTGAAAAATCAATAAAGGAATCAACAAGGGAATTAACAGAGACATGTATGTCTACACTTGTCAGAGATACAGAAAGACGACTTTAAAATGGAAGAACACGCAAGCATAGGAGACAATCAAGTAACAAGCATTCACTGAGACTAAAGACCCACTGGACAGCTTAACCACAGTCTTGGCTACAGACAGATGAACCTGTGAAAGATCATTTGAAGAAATGACCCGCAAGAAATAATACAGATACCCGAGCATGGAGGTACATGCCTATAATCTCAGCATTCGGGGAGGCTGAGATAAGAGGATCATGAGTTTGAGCCTGGGCTCTACAACTTTTGTGACTTAGGACGACCCTACCTCAAAATGAAAAATAAAAACATGGCTAAGAATGTTGCTCAGTGTGAAGGCTCTGGGTTCAATCTCAGGAACCCCCGCACCAAAAAAAAAAAAAAAAA